AGCCAAAACTGATACTTACAGTAAAAGAACTCCGTGAAGTCACCCGAGCTACAAAAGAGCAACTGAGCGATATTATTTTCCTCTTGGTTGTTAGAAAATAAATGATCTGCGTAAGGAAAGATCGACATTTGACTGAAAATATCTGTTGAATGTGCTATAAATACAAACACCGGGAGGGAACAAACCTCATGACCCTGATAGAAAAATAAGGACCAAGCACTTGATTCTGCTGAGGAAACACACGCTATTGATTGTTGAGAAAATTGATATTTTTTTTAACAGCACAAGCTGACGAGAAGATTCCTGAGGAGGAGGTCAAGACGAAGCCAATGCGTGATTTGGGTTAGAAATATTAAGAGAAATTGACAGGAAGGATAGAGTATTGAGGAAAATAAATATAGTTGTAAAAGGTTATTTTTAAGTGGCAGGAAACATCCAAATCGAAGCCTACAATATATGCGGATTTCCATAGAATTGTTTTATCAGTCAGTCAAGTATCCCAAACCCTTCAGTACTTTCATACCTTTAGCCTCTCATTTGATAAAAGCTTCAGCACTTGACACCCTGCAAACAAGCCTGCGGTGGCTCTTTACGGGCTAGCCTAAGGGCCCCATGCAGGCTGACCCTGCACAGGAAGCCCTCACTATGCCCACACAGGGCCCGCACTATTAATCTACAACAATAAATCTGTTTCACTATAACTTAAGTCTTTGGAAAAACCAGTTATCATACATCTGAAATGGATGCAGTCAACACATAACTAATGTCTGTATTGTCAAAAATGTACAGTCAAAGGGATTTCAAATCAATGGATTTATGAAATACGAAATAGAAATAGAAAATAGAACTTAACACTCTGAAAGGGACTACATATCTATACAAATATAAAAATAATGCAAATTAACATAAAAATAAGAAACACCAAATTATTACTTTGACCTCTGCTGAAAATGTTTTGATGTGCTAAAGTATTCATTGGCGGAGCTCACTCTTCCCCCGAGGTCTCTCAGCTAGTCAGCAGACGGTGGTAGCACTCCTTTCATCCGCCCGATCTGTCTCTTGAATTCCGCAACCACTCTCAACTTCAGAATCAGGAGGACTTGGCTGAAAGGAGCATTTTCAAACAGCCTCTGAAAAGCAAATCGGCCTATATCAGGGATTCTCAAATCTGGCTCATTAAACACACTTTCCTGCAGGGTTTAGCTCCTACTTTGATCAAAACTCACCCACCTGTGATTTTCTTATGATCCTGAAGACACTGATTAGCATGCTTAGGTGTGTTTGATTAGGGTTAGAGCTGAACTCTGCAGGAAAGTGGATGTCGTGAGGCAGATTTATTTGAGGATCCCTGGCCTATATGAAACAACTGGTTCTGAAAAGGTGTCTTTTGGTTTGAGCCGTTCCAGTTCAACTGAGTGACTAAAGAATGGCCAGTCAATGTTAGTATTCTCCCAGTTGCATTACAGTAGGGTGACCATACGTGCCATTTTCCCAGGACGCGTCTTGGCCAGGATTTCTATATTGCCTAAAATATCTAGGTTTTGGCTTTGTTTGCGTGTGCAGACCGATCGGTGTATGACATCAAAGTACCATACAGACGGTTATGCTTTGGAAACGCTCTCGAGGTACTTTGATGTCAAACACTGATCGGTCTGAGCCGCACTGCTTTTAAGTCGAACACACCTAATATGTACGCGTAATTGCATCGCTTTGACCGTAGATCCCACCTTCTCACACGCCATGATTGGTCCATTATGTACAATGCTTGCATGTTATTGGTCAAACTACTTTTCGATCATTACCTTCAGCAAGCATGAAAACAGGAAAACAAAGCCAAAACAAATCCTGGCCAGGACGCATCCTGGGAAAATGGCACGTATGGTCACCCTACATTACAGGGCTGCCTACACAAAAACCTGCATGGGCCCAAAGGTACAAAAGTTGCTCTGGGCCATCATTGGATTAATGTGGGCACTCGCCTAGTTTGGGCTGCTCACAGAGAGCCCATGGTGAGCCCAAAGCTGTGGGCCCTGCTTGGGCAAGCACGCACGGGGCCTGTTTAGGTTTGGTGTGGGCTGTCCCTAGACCACTGTGCCCGCAAAAACCCCGCAGGCCAGTCTGTCTCATACAAAACTTCAAATCCTTCTGCAGATGTGGAGCTCTGAAGTACAATATCTCCCCCAACTGGACACTGTCAGCACTGCTTTACATCAGAATGGTCATACATCACCAGAGAAATGCATCAGACATTTTGTATCATTGAAATATTTAAATATTTTGGCCCACAAAATGCAATAAAGAAATACATTTTGTGTGTCACTCAGTATTTGTTGATGAAATTCTAAAGTTTTTTTTTTGTACAATATGTAAACCATGACCAGTGATTTGTAAACACAGACCTCGACTATACAATGCTGTTTTTATTTCTTTGCCAATTGTGTTTTTGCCCAAACATTGCAGTTGCAGACTCGTTAAAATATAAAAACAATTAGAATAGATAATTTTATGTTTACATATAGACAATAATCCTCTATTTCTACAATATAAGAATAGTTTCCTGTCATAACATTGTTTTTTTCTTAGCAGTACACAGTAAAGTATTTCCTCAACATCTTCCTCTGCTAACTGTGTTTGTCGTCTGTTAAACACTCCAGGATACTTTGGCTTTGAGTCTGAATTTTTTTTTTTTTTGTGCTGGGCCGGCTAAAGGCCACATTCCTCAGTGATTAGTCAGTTAATGACCGTAAAGAACTGGTTAAAAACAACAACAACAATAAAAAAAGAAGAAAAAAACACCGAAAACTAGTACAAAAATAAAAAATTTCCCTATTTTTAGCAAATTAACATTACACACAGTTGGCTAAATATATAAATTAAATGGCGTTCTGTAATGTTGACAGCTAACAATCACAGGTCAGATTCCATTAAAGCTGTTTGTGACCCAAAATAAAATATAAATAAATAAATAAATCATACTGCTAATTAAATTATTATTATTATTTTTTAATCAATTTAACATTATGCACAATTGGCTAAAATATATAAATTAAATGTTTTTTTTTTAATGTATTCTGTAATGTTGACAGGTCGCAACCTTCTGATTCCATTCATGCTGTTTATGATCCAGAGTCCAGAAAAACATCCAGCCATTATATTTAACCTTCAATATAATAATAATAATAATAAAAATAATAATAACCTATTGTTAAACAAAAATAAATAAAATAAAATAAAATAAGATATTACATTTGTAGATCTATGGCATTATTGATACCATAATGTTCACTCTTTTACGCTTTTGCGCAGTGGTTTTTACCTCAGAATCAGAATATCTGATTTGAATAAAACGCTGAGATTAAAGTATTGACTCAGAGAGAACACTAGATGGCACTCTGTCCCTGTCAAAAACAAAGACTAACAAGCCTTGAACCCTTTGGAGGCCTGCGTGAAATGACTCTTAATTTGACATTCTGTCATTAGGCCTGATTCATTCTCTATGTATTTCAGTTCTCCTGTTTACATCTGAAGTTCATTAAAGATTTTCACTGATATGTTAATATTAAATGATATTTAAAGGGCAGTTAAGTTAAACGTAAAATATTCAGAGCAGTTTTATCTTGTTTTAACTTGATGATTGGATCAAACTGATTCATCCAAACCTTGAGTTGGTACAAAATTGAAGGCAGAGAATGACAGAATGTTCTCTCAACACATTTTGTTGGCAACAGAAGGTCTCTGTGTTTGCAGAAGGATCATTTGTTTTGTTCAAATAAACCAGACACAGAAGTGGCAATCATATGAGGCGGGTAGTTAGTTAAATCCACACTTAAACAGCTGGGGCCCTGCAGGAACCGGGGGATGGGGAAGCCAGCCCTTCAACATACAGCACTTTCTGTAACTGTGTGTTTTCTGTTCTCTTGTTAGATAAAACTACACAGGACCTGTGACACATCACTGATTACTTTCTGGTGTCAAATCCTTGTTTTGCCTATAAACCTACACATGACTGCACAAACACACACTCACAGAGAGACAGAGAGAGAGAGAGAGAGAGAGAGAGACGCAGCAGTTGCTGTAACAATCGAAGATTCCAAACATTCTTTCCCATCTCATCTCATTCTGGCTCAGTTCACTGTCCATGAAAATATTCCTCGAATAATGAAATCCTTGTACTAAATCTAAAATAAAATATAAAAAAAGAAGATAGCAATTTTTCACCCTGATAAAATGATGGATAGTTTGGGGGAACTGTACTAAATAGAAAATGGAAAAATAAAAAAATACACAAATAATAGAAAAATAAAAATATAATGCATAATGAAAGGTTTAAGGACTATTTATTACTCAAAGTCAATGTTAGTTTCATTGTTCATTGTTTCATACGTTCATTCATTGCAGGGCAGAGAGAAAAAAAAAAAGGTTAGTTTCCTGGGAAACCTTGACACACACACACACACACACACACACACAAAAGAGAAATGTTATAAATAATATAATATAATATAACAATATAATATGTATGCATGCATTAAATCTGGAATATATATTAAATATAAATAGCTAATATATGATGATATAGGATTTACAAATATTCAAATATTTAAAATCTAAAAAAATCTATCTATCTATCTATCTATCTATCTATCTATCCAATATTTACATAGATAAATATTCAATGTAAAGATATCAATATAAATATTAAAAATTAAATATTTGAATATTTGTCACTTTGCTTATAGGCCCTATTAGTTGAACTGAACCGTTGCATAATGTCAATAACGTTATTAATCTCCATACGACTTTTAGTATTTTTAGTACTATTTTTAGTATTTAAAAATGAAAAAAGAATAAGTAAACAAACTTTTGGATTTCAAATAACTTAGATTTCACATGATCACAAACTTTACGGTCTGCTTGTGTGTGTGTGTGTGTGTGTGTTTGTGTGAGGGCGCGTGCGTCACACACGCGCGCAGTGAGCGGTACTTTGCGTAACACCGGAACTGTGATGTGCGGACCGCTGCAGCCCTACGACTCCACAACACTATTATTGTTCATATGATTTATTTCACCTTACTCAAGTTTTCCTGCCATGACGCTCTGGATTCCCACTAAAAGAGAGAAATATGGAGTGGGTGAGTGACTTTCAACGCGCTTTTGTTAGTTTTTACTCAATGTTTCACTCTGGAAAGTCGCGTTGGAGTTTGAGGAGCGTTCAGCCGCACCTTTACCTGAACACACACACCACGCGCTTCTGATACCTGTATGGAAAGTTGTCAGTTATCATACATGAACTACTCAGATGCTTTAATACATCAACAGGACATGGCTTTGTTGACATATTTTGTAAGAGAAGTTTGGATGGTTGTCTCATTGTACTTTCGGGTCACAAACAATATATTTGTTTTACTGTAGTTTGTTTATAAGTGCACAGTAGAGTGAATGTTGTTCCTGCAGGTTTGACAGGACAATACAATTACAATAAATACAGCAACAGAGCCGCCAGAGTTCCAGTGATCACAGTCATAAACAGCATTTCCCTTCCAGTCACTTTAATCTGTGAACATGAGCTCAGGTTAACACACCCATAAAACCAAACAGAATGAACTCTTTTATCTCACACTACTCAGTGGCTGGGTTGTTTTGCAAATGTGCTTTATTATTGTTTGCGGCTTGATAAGGGCATTTAGATACTGTACATTTGTGGTTAGTTGACATGCTATACTTCCAATTGCAACCATCCAATTTATGTCACAAGCTTCAGTTGAATTTACTGAAATAAGTTCTCAGAACAATAATAGTTGTTGCCTGTCAAATTAAATCAACTTCACATGCACAAGATATCATAACAAAGTACACGCTCTGCTGGTCTCAAGTAATTTTCAAGTCCTTGTCTTCTTCATGTTCTTTAAAAAAAAAAGCCTTTGAAATAATAATTATAGAAACTAATTGTAGAGCAAATCTGACAGCTTTTGAATATGTTATTTATTGGAACAGTCAATGTACAAATGAATGGTTTGAGTCTGAATGTGTCAACTGTTTGGACATACTTGACAATTTATTATTCTCATAATAAAAACAAACGCTACTGTTCGAAAGTTTGGCCACATTTGTTCCACCTGACAGGCCTAGAATATAGCATTATGACATACTGTACATGTTAGATAGCAGACTCAGAACACATTTTAATATTTGGACCGCATTTGTTGATCTTTTTGCCCTGAGTGCTGCTTCTTTTCTGACCCTGGCTGTTGCACGTGTATTTATTCTGTTGCTGTGGTGCGGTGCAATACTGTACTTACTGTTCATGCCAAGAGCGGTCAGCTGGCCAGTTTAACGCACACAGGGACGATTGTTGTGGTGGAGCATTCTTAAGGGATATGTAATCTGTTGGTCAGACATCAAGCGGTCTGGTTCCTACTGGGCCAGTTTTCCCGCCCCTGAGGACTTTGACATACATTTGAGGAATTTGAATAAAAGTGCTTTTTGCATCTGGTGAGGAATTGGTAATAAAAATATAATTTTTTGTGCATTGTGCATTTGGAATTATGGACCCTTAAAGGGGTCATATGATGCTATTTTAAAGATCATTATTTTGTGTATTTGGTGTAACAGAATATGTTGACATGCTTTAATGGTGGCTCTTTGGATTTGAGACTTTAGTGTTTGCAACTTTACAGATCTTCTTTATGCACCAAGAGCTTGTAACACTCCAAAGAGAAAGGAAAAACTGAAATCGCATCATATGACCCCTTTAATGATGCATTTCTGCAGTTCTTAAAGCTGCAGTCCGTAACTTTTTTGTGTTCAAAATTTATATAATAAGCGAGTACACCATGAATCCATTTTCCAAACCGTGTTTTTGGCTTGTCCTGAATCACTACGGTACACCTATAATAAGTGTTTATATTCGGACTATTTAGACTGGTTCAGATAGGTACCGCTGCGGAGTAGCCCAGTACCTGCGTGATTCTCCATAGACATAAACAGAGAGAAGTAGCTCCGGCTACAATGTTCTTCCACAAGACGCACGCAGTTCTGTTTATTAACCGCTAGAGCGCCAAAAGTTATGGACTGCAGCTTTAAGTTTTTAATTTTTATTTTAAATTTAATGTATGTTTATCACACTATACTTTGTGTTATATCACTTTGACATTAAATGACAGAAAACTAGTTAAAGCTGATGTGCAAGTGTTTGTAATACAACAGCTGAGGGCAAATTTGACATCTTTCTGTCTTCTGACCAATGTAATCAACCTCTCTGTATTTTTTCCTCTTTTATAAGGTCATAGAAACACTAGCATGGTTTTTCTCTCGCTATTGGAGCAAATGGGAACGCAGGTATTATATTTCTTGTAGTTTCCGTTCACCACTATAGAACTATGACAACTTCCACTTCTGAGAATATTTTTGTTGTGTCTGAACTCACACACATTTGTGTTGTTTTTGCACCATAATGTCAGCACTATTTCTCCATGTCACTATAACCACAAGGCATTAGTTACACTATGCAATCACAACTGGTCTCTGAAATGGCCCGGTTCATCATTGCACTTGAGCAAAGCGTATGAAAATGTGTGGCCTGCCTGATGGCCTGCCTGCCTGTCATAGATGAGAGCATACAAAGACCGGTCAGAATGGAGCCTGTTAGCACAGCCCACATCCCAGCATGCACTAGGCCTCAACACTGTGACACCTCTATGGCCCATTTGGCCGAGGCAACAAATCACACGCTCAAATAGAGCCTAGTGTGTGAACTGAATCATTTTCTGTGATGCCTGGACTGTGGCAGTTTTTTGTAAGTGATAAAATGTCTTAATATGGTATTTTTGTCTTAATGACACACATTTTTTTTAGCTGAGCATTTTAAATGTAGCCAGGGGTGATGAAATTCTTTGTCTTTGGCACTTCTTAGTGAGGTCTGGATTTGTTTGGGTGTGGACGGGAAATTTCATGCACCTGTATTACGAATGATTAATCTGAGAGAACCAGACCGACGTTTATGGGCTGATTTTACGAGTTGCAGAAGTTACGAGATATGGTGGCATTTTCTTTTCTTCACTGTGCACATAATATGTCAAGATTGTAATGAGCTTGCTCTATGGAAATTTAGCTGCAGATTAACCGGAAATGAAAAGTTGCTTCATACTTCTTTGCTGTGAAAAAGAAGCGGACAGATTTATCAGTTGAGTGTGCTTGAGATCTGCAGTGCACTAGTGGAAGCATGTTGTGAAACGTAGCCTCAAGCTTTTCGGTTTATCTATGAGTCTTCATTTGAACTGAACAATGTGCATGCCTGAACAAGGCCTGAAACATTTTCCCTTGGGCTGAGTGTCAGTGCGCTGTAGATAGTGTGGCATTGAAAAATCGTATTATTTTTTTTTGTAGTTTATCTTTTTTATTGTTTAATGCATCAGCTATGGGTTGGAGATATAAGGCTGGGGGGGGGGTGCTGATCATTTATCAGTGTTGAAAACAGTTGTGCAGCTTCATATTTTTGTGCAAAAACCAGTCTATATATGTATTTTTCAGGATTCTTTGATGAATAAAACGTTCATAAGAACATCATTTATTTGAGAGAGAAGCCTTTTGTAACTATAAATGTCTTTACTGCATCCTTGCTGAATAAAAGTATTAATTTCTTTCAAAAACCGAAACTTTTGAACAGTAGGGTTGGGAATCGAAAATCAATTCCAATTCCAGAATCGAATACTTAAGGTCAGGAATCGGATACTTGTTGTAAAATTAAAATGTCAATTCCACCTATCAATTCCTGTGTGCACATCTTTTTTTTTAAGGGGGCAAAAAGGGGCTGTAAAAAATGTATTTGTCTTTGAATCATTCATTCAAGAGATTCATTCAAAATCACTGATTCATCCAGTAATGAACCGAGTCAATCTTGAGTGAGTGAATAAAACGTTCATAAGAACATCATTTATTTGAGAGAGAAGCCTTTTGTAACTATAAATGTCTGTACTGCATCCTTGCTGAATAAAAGTATTAATTTCTTTCAAAAACCTAAACTTTTGAACAGTAGGGTTGGGAATCGAAAATCAATTCGAATTCCAGAATCGAATACTTAAGGTCAGGAATCGGATACTTGTTGTAAAATTAAAATGTCAATGCCACCTATCAATTCCTGTGTGCACATCTTTTTTTTTAAGGGGGCAAAAAGGGGCTGTAAAAAATGTATTTGTCTTTGAATCATTCATTCAAGAGATTCATTCAAAAACACTGATTCATCCAGTAATGAAAGTAAATCTTGACTGAATCATTGAATCATTTCATTCATAAATTCCATGAGATTTTGTTTAGTTGTCTAATATTTTTTTCTTCAGAATTGTGAGAGAACTACAACTTGCATTAAAAAGTCTCAATTTATCCAGTAGGGCTGGGTTTTGACACAAATTTCACGATTCGATTATCATTCAGAAGCTTGCGATTCGTTTCGATTCCCAATTCGATTCGATTTGATTCAATATTGAGTATTTTGGATATATATCAGGGACACATGCCAAATTTTCTCAAGGAAAAAAAATCTCTTAACTAATGCTGTAAATATACATGAGAGTCCGTTGGCACTACATTGCTATAATATTGAAGGTTAAAACTGACTGATTTGAAAACTGACTGATTTAAAACTGACTTGAATTGCTTAAATTACACTTAATGAAGTTTTATAATAAAAGTTACAATTACATAATATTTCTATTTCAATTCGTTTTTTAAAAAAAATATATAATTATTTAAATGGTGGCTGTCATAAAAAATATAAATTAATCATGAACAGTAAAAGTTATAATGAATATATTATATGGTGCATATATTTAGCAAAATGCCCCTCTCTACAGTTTATTTGTCTATCTGACTAATGAGTTTATGGTCACAGAATATGTTTGTTTCTGAGGTAAATGTGACGTTACGTGACATTGTTTACAAGCCGTTATATTGACGTCTTTGCGTGGCTGAAACACTGATTGAGAGATTACATGAGACAGGATACGGATTGTAAAGTTGTACTCTTTCTTTTAACTTGCCTTCGGATGTTTAGTCATGTTTATTTTGTGCTGAAACTGGTATTAATGTGGAGGAGATGATCAGTTCACGTGTGCCCCGCGCTGCCGTGTCTGTTGAATACTGCAATACAATGGACAGAATTTGAAATCTGAGTCCTTGTTTTATATTAAAAGTACCAAAGCACAATGCTTATTGCGATATATTGGATGGGAAGTGCCCTTCAACGTTCCCGTCCATTAACTGAACACAGGCCGATCGATTCTGGGGATTTAAGAATCGATATCGTTTCGTAAAAATGTGAATCGATTAAAATCGAGATATCTATATTTTTTACCCAGCCCTATTATCCAGAATTGTGCAGCTCTATTTTGCACATAAACAGCTCTTAATCGAGTCCAGTTTTTATGTAGCTGGCTGATTTTTGTTCATGGTATTCAGCAGCAATTAAATGTTTTGCAAGAAGAGACACAGAATAAATATGTTTGATATCGAAATGTTTGACTTAATTTTTTTGTAACCATATTGGAATCGAAACTGGGAATCGATAAGAATCGGAATCGAAAAGCAGAATCGGAATTGGAATTAATAAAATTCAAACGATACCCAACCCTACTGTCAACACTGATTGTGACATGACAATCACAAAAAATGAGTCCATGTATGAAACATACAGTATTAAACGGTTTCTGGATTCTGAATGTGTCAAAGATTTGGATATACTGGACTGAATTTATAATTCTTATGATTAAAAAATTAAACTAAAATCATTAACTTTGTCAATATTAAATCAATGCTGTAATGCTTAAGTGAGTTTAGGCATCACAAACTGATATTATGATAACTATATATATATATATAGAGATTTTTTATTTGCTCTCAAAAAATTTGCTGTAATCTACTGTTGTCCCTTTTAGCTAGCACAAGTAATCTAAAGAAGTCTAAACATGGAAATTAGCATCCACAATTAAATTTCCTATAAAAGTAGCCAGTATAGTCCTGATATATTGTGTAGCCCTAGTTAATGTAGATCTTTGGAACTGCTTTTATTTCTATGGTAATTCACTTAATTGCATTATTATAAATGTCTTTACTGTCACATTTGGGGTGGGGCTTAGGGCTGTCAAAATTTTTTTTCGAATTTCGAATATTCGTCGAATTTAAAATATAAATCCACATTCGAATGCAAAAACGTTGCATTCGAATTTTAGGTGTGCGTTAAGGAGGCAGCCTTATCAGTGGTGCACGAGATGCGATGACGATGTAAGTGTCATTACATTTTAATGTTTTTCTTAGCCTATCCAGTTGAAGCCATTAAATGTGGCACTGCTGTGCTGTTAATTACAAATATTGCGGTAAAAGAGAACATCAATGCGGAGAAGATGTTGTTTACGTCAAAACTGAAATCAAGCCATTCACACAGAACGCATATTTCGTGCACTTTCTAGAGGGACATCTATCACCGTTTCACTCGCGTCTCGCACAAAAGAGCCGCATGTTTAGAAAGCCATGTAAAATTAATGCAAGTTCAACTTTGAAAAAACATATCTCGAGACTTTATGGTGTTTTTTTTTTTTCCCCATCCCACTGCAGCTTGTGTTTTTAAATGAAAAATGTACTCTGTGTGATTGGCTTTCGGCCCTTTGTATTAAACTATGCATACATAATGCTGTTTAGTTTATAGTTGTTTAAGCAACTTAATTAATTATAATTGGTTTATAAACATTATTTTTTTCAAAAAAGTGAATTTTTTTTTTATATGCACTTTTTTTCACAGATAGTCATGTTACCTTATGCTTTGAAGAAACGTGCATTAGTAATATTTTGCTCGATGCGTACTCTTGTGGCCTCAGGAGAGAATCCACAAGCTTTTTTTTCACCCTAACTGAAATTATGCATTTTAAATTCGAATATAATTTGAATTTTGATAATATTTAAGTACAAAATTCGAATTTAGTTTTTCAGCCATTCTGACAGCCCTAGTGAGGCTTAGCGACAGGTCATTTTAGCAGTGAATTTTTAAAGTGATCCATGTGTATTGCATTCTTGCATTGATATATGACACTGGACAGTTTATTTAAATGGGTTGATAAACTGGTTTATCACCCACCTCCAGTATCAGCCAATCATTTTTCAGTGATTGCATCTGTATCTTTAATGAAATATATGTGTATGAGGAATGAGGATGTTACTCTTCTTAACTTTCCTAGATTGAGTCTTTGTACACACAAACTCTGGTTTTTGTGTGTATTCAGCAGATGGAAAGCAGTGTGGAGTCAGATGCATGGCACAAGGAAATCTTGCACTCCTACCAAGTGTCCTTCAGCACTGAAGAGGGAGGGAAAACTCAGGCCTTCAGTCTCGTAGTGTAGACACCCACTCTCAGGTTCATCTGCAGTTCAACAGCCCAAAAAATGTTACTACTAGTAAGAGGAAAGCACTCAGCGCCTCTTAGTGTGTTCACATTCCACGAATAAGCACTTGCGCTGTGCCCAACATTTCAGATGCTGTTTGTGCAAGCCAATATTGCATCCAAGTACAACACAAACTCTCCTATTGTCTGGTGTAACCCTTACAGTATGGTGAATCTGACTCAGATATGTGGTTTAAGAGGTGTTTGCCAAGGCAAGCATTGCTATTACTATTGGTGACCCTGTTGGAGGGACCCAAACTATGTCTTTATTATATTATACAGACTTGATGTGGGCTTTTTTGACTTTTGACTTTTATTTGTATTTAATAATAATAATAAAAGCATCTGCTAAATGACTAAATGTAAATGTAAAAAGAATAATAGTAATAAAATCCAAAAGCAATATAAACAATAATTGATATATTATAATATTTAATTATGACATATAATAATATTTAACTAATTATGATATACAATATCATAATTATAATATTTATTTGTATATTTCAGTATAATAATAATAATAATAATAATAATAATAATTATTATTATTATTATTACATTGTTGTGGCTTGTTCCGGGGCAAAATCAACTCACATTATTTTCTAAAAATCTTTTTTTATTGTAATCTCATTGGGAGTTTGGGTTGCATTTGGCTGTTACTTTGAAGATCTGAGTCATACTGACAGACGTCAGACATGTCAAGTGGCTGTTTCCCTGCAGAACTTGAGAACTTTCCACTCAAGAACTTGTTCAACAGTTGGTGCGCTGTCATTTTTTTCCTCTTTCACAGGACAGACAGCAACCTTGTTGTTTTTATTTTTTGGTTTCTCTTTGCTCTCTGCAGTCTGTGACACCCTTTTGTCTCATTTTCAGCTATCTATAACTATGATGCCAGAGGAGAGCCAGAGCTGAGTCTTCAGGTGGGGGACACGGTACACATACTTGAGACGTTTGAAGGTGAGTGTCGAGTTCCAGCGTGTCTTGACACGTCCACCCACACTTTCTTATAGCGTGTTCACACTTGCACTGAACACATAATCTGGGGTATCCCAGAGTTCTGCTGAAGCTCTGAGAGCTTCATATGTGGCCTGCAACATTCAAATTAAGCTGCATATTTGTTTGCATGATTTAAAGTGCTCATATTTTACACTTTGTAACAGTTTATTCTACCCAAAGTCTAATTATAATGTTAAAATGTTAATGTTTTCCATGACCATTTTCTGCTCTCTCTCTGACATTTAAGCTCCATTTACAGTTGGTCTGAAAGGGATAGTTCACCCCAAAATAAAAATTCTCTCATCACTTACTCACCCTCATGTCATAGCAAAACTGTAAGGCTTTTTTCTTCTATGGAACACTTAAGATATTAAAAAAATGTCTCCAATGTTGTTTGGACACCAGTGTTATTCAAAATATTCAGAAGAAAGCAATTGATATAGGTTTGCAGCAACTTAAGGATTTAGTAACAATGACAGAATTGTAATTTTTGGCTGATCAAATCATGCATGCTAAATGCAAATGTACATTATCAGTGAAAAGTTTGGGTAGGCAAGATTTCAAGACTCCATTTATCTGATAAAAAAGCAGTAAAATATTACAATTTAAAAATAACTGTTTTGTATTTGAATATATTTTACAATTTTAAAATTGATTAATGCATCAGCTAGTGGGAGATTTAAGGGAAAAAAACAATGTGTGTGTTTGTGTATATATATATATATATATATATATTAGGGGTGGAACGGTTCGCGGAAAAAAATCGAACCGTACGGTTCTCCACACACGGTTCGGCACGCGCTAGGACCGCGGTTCAACTTAAATCTGACAACGCATCTGTAATATGGTTTGCTATAAATAACACGTAAAACAAACAGGCTTCAGCTAATTTATGTTTCTTTTGATGGATGCGCATTCTGGCTTCCCAATACATTACAACAACAGCGATGAAAAGAAAAAAAAAACGTGCACAAACCATTCACTCTTCTTTAAAATCACCTTCTCGTTGTAATACCTGTCATACCCATGTCATTATACAAATTTGTGTCCTCATAAATCAAAACACACACACACGTTTCTTGAAGCATCTTGGACTTCTGGATTTAGTCTGTCTCAGTGTGTTTTGTTTCTTCACGTCATTCCAGACAGACTGGATGATGATCAGATCTCTGTGTGGAGCACTGGCTGTTGTCAGACAAAAATCTCACTGGATTATTACAATTAATGGCAAAATGAATATTTGGAAATGTAAATAATAATATTTCAAATAATTGTTTCCTATTGTAATATATATTAAAATGTAATTTGGTCCTGTGCTACAAAGCTGAATTTTTCATCATTACTCCAGACTTCAGTGTCACATGATCCTTCAGAAATTATTCTAATATACTGATACCATAATACTTTTTTCAGGATTCTATGATGAATAGAAATTTCAAAAGATCAGCATTTATTTGAAATAAAAATGTTTTGTAATGTTTCTCAGTAAATGTCTTTAGTGTCACGTGATCAATTTAATGAATAAAAGTGTTGATTTCTTAAAAAAGAAGTTCAAACTTTTGAATTGTAGCATAAACACCATCCAAAATGTTTTGTGATCACGCAAACTATTCTTTGATATAGGCAAAAACACATGTAACTAGATTGCATTTGTAGTGTAAATGCAAAGTGTCCTGATGTGTCTCAGACAACAGTGATGGGCCACCTAGTCTCCTGTCAATCAAGCATTGTGCTAAAACAAGGGGTTTTAAATTAGCTGTCCATGTGCAGCTTTAAAAGAAAACAACCATCCGATCTCAAAATTTCAGTCCTGTGAAAAATATATGATGTGCATTCAAGTGATATTTGTCTGATTAAAACACTGGACAACTTCACCTTTCTCTTTTTTTCTACATGACAACAAATGTTTAAGCACCTGTGCAACAAAATGAGTAGCAAAAGATTGTGCATTGTGTACTTAGTTGTATTTTAGCATTCTTGTTCTGCAAAAGAGAATGGTGGGAAAGGTAATTAAAGTCTGTTTCCTCGTAAACTCCCTAAATTAATATATTTTTTGGAAAGTTTTATCGTACTCTTTTTCGACGGCACACAAAATGCACACAAACTAAATTGTACAATCAACTTTCACTAAGAAACCATTATTATTATCAGTACCAATCAGCTGCCACCATGATTATTTAATTTACACGCCCCCAACTCAGAAAGTCATGGCTTAAAGACAATACAGAGTGTCTTTGTAGTGCTTGCATTCATGTCTCTCCTCTTGTAAATATGATATTTTTTTAATTTAAAATATTCCATTTCCTTTTTTTAAGAATGGAAAACCTGATTTGGCTATTTACATCTACCCTAGTTTATCTAGTGATTTTGCTAACTCTGAGCAAACAGAACATCTGCCTTATTCTGTTATATAAATAATATATAGCAGCATCTGTCATGTGGCATCATCTGGCTCTTTTTTTCTCTCTCTCCTTCTCCCAGGGTGGTACCGAGGATACACACTACGACAGAAATCACAAAAGGTGTTGGGATAATTATCATCCTACTGATAAACTGACAATCTAATCATTACCTGACATTCTGCAGCAGGCGGAATGAATTGCGTGGGTTCTCACAAATGCTTCTTTGTCTTATTTCAAGGGCATTTTCCCTGCCAACCTATATTCATCTGAAAGAAGCAAAAGTTGAGGGAACAGGGTAAGAGGCAGATCACGTTAATTATCCTCTGTAATTCATTAATAGCAAATTGTCTATCACTTAATTAAGCATGTGCTGTCAGAGGAGTCCACGGTGACAGTCATCTGCGGTTGGCTTTATGGATTTGCTCGTTTACCCTCAGAGACCCACTGTAGCACAATTGTAACACTTGTTCAAAGCAGTTAAATAATGCATAATTCATAAACGGGGGTTAAAATGCTCTGAAATGTATCATAGCAAGTTAGCAGCACATTTGGCAAGAAAATATAGCCTGATTCTTCCAGCATGCCAAAGTCACACAACATGGTCACTGCGTTACTGACTAGGGATGCGCCGATCCGATATTCATATCGGGTATC